GAGACGGAGGAGGAGGAAGGAAGGGATGGGGGAGGAGGAGGAGGAGGAGGAGGAGGAGGAGGAGGAGGAGGACGACGACGACGACGACGAGGACGACGAGGACGACAAGGACGACCAGGACGACCAGGACGACGAGGACGAGGACGACGAGGAGGAGGAGGAGGAGGAGAAGAATCGGGAGGATCGAAATGGGTACGGAAAGAATGGGCACGATGCCGAACAGCATGTCCTGCTCATTTTGAACATGAGTCGCTGTCTGCGCCACCGCGGGCGTTGCGCATTGAAGACAGAGAAGACAGAAGCTGCCTGCCCAACAGCGGCCGCTGTCGGTTTTGGACAACATGTGTGGTTGGGCAGTGTATACACGTTTCCTCATCTGTTCCGGGCGACCAACAGAGTCCCCATCGTTCAGTTCATCTCCTATCGCTTGGCATCGCTCGGACATGTGTCTTCTAGTCTCTGCGAGAACCGTCGAGGAGCAGCCTGGATCATCGAGAGCAAAAACACGCACGAAATCGCAACATGTATGGGAAATGGACGTCCGAGCGATGGCGACATCAGGCCCAGACATCCGACGGCGCGTGTGTTTTAGCCACGTGGCTCCACAGGAGGCGCGGGCCCTCTCCCAGTGACCAGGAGGAGGAGGAGGAGGAGGAGAAGGAGGAGGAGTAGGAGGAGGAGGAGGTGTCGGAGGAGGAGGAGGAGGAGGAGGAGCTCCTCCTCACGAGAGGGTTGCTGACGGTGCCAGGGCCCGGTCAGGGCCCCCCCGGGTCGGAGAGCTGTCAGCGAGAGCCGTCCCGTCGTGCTCCCTTGCACGCCGCAGGGATGTCGGGGACGAAGCATACCCCTCCCTCCTCTCCTCCTCCTCCTCCTCCTCCCCTCCTCCTCCTCCTCCTCCTCCTCCTCCTCCTCCTCCTCCTCCTCCTCCTCCTCCTCCTCCTCCCCCTGAGGCGCCCCTGCCGTCCGAGCTCCGCGAGCCGAAGCCGGCCCCTTGGGCCGACCTCTCTGGCTGGAGGCCGGTCTCGCCGCTCGGCGGCAGCGGCCGCGGAGAGCCGAGCGAAGGCGCTGCCGCTGCGGGCGGGCCCGACGCGCGCGGCGGGGGCGAGGCAGCGGCGGGGGCCCGCCACGAAGCTAACTCAGACATGACGGCGTCGTGACAAAGTCAGGACGGGAGCTTTTGTTTGCCATTTTCGGCCCCGGGGGGCCTTCGCCAGGCCTCGGGACCATCAAAAAACGACTCAGGATGGAAACCGGCCCCGGGGGAAGGGTCGGGACTTCCAGGGACGCCGTCCTGAAAAAATCAGGACGTCGCATGTCTGAGAATGGGACCTGATAAAACGGGCTCATCAAGCAGTGGCGAAGCGTCCTGGCTCGCCTTTAGGCCCACCACAGAATGTTCTAAGAGCCTGTTGTGGTCTGCCCGGCATGTTCTCAGAACATTTCTGGCCGATATTGTTTTGCTTCAATACATCGGGTTTATGTCATAAGAACATTGAGTTCGTTAGGACGTTTCATGTTCTAAGAACATGTCGTGGTAGGCCTACAGGAATGCCGGGACGGTCGGTCCCTGCTCAAGTCGTGGAGGTCCCTCGACCTGCACCGTCCGCACCTTCCGCGCGGAAGGTGCCGCCGCAATGCGGCCGCCGCGGCCGCCGCTGCGGCCTCGAAGGTGGCCGCCGCTGCGGCCGCGGCGGCGGCCGCGGCAGCGCGGCACCTGCCGCGCGCAGCGTGCAGGAGGGGCAGGTCGAGGGGTGCTGCGCCGTTTTCCGGTTCGCAGGGGCCCTCCGCCAGCCCCGGGATCGTCAACACAAGAAGGCTCAGGACGAAACGCTAGTCCTCGAAGGCATGGCCCCGGGGCCCGGACTCGCTTCTCTCCCCGGACCCGCATGCTTCACATGTGAAGGGGCTGCAGCCGGGGGAGCCGTGGGCGCAGGTGCCAGCTCCCGCTGCTGGCACTCCTGCCGCGGCAACGGCGCCCTTGGCCGACTCGCCCCGCGCGGCGCTGGCGCCGTCGGCTGCCGGCCCAGGGCACAGCGCCGCGGCGGACTCGGGCGGCGTATCGGTCGCAGCACCAGCGCCACTGGCTGGGGCGGGCGGCGCCGTGGCTGCAGCGCCGGCGCTCCCAGCCGCCCCTGGGGATGCGGCGGACCCGGCCGCCCCTGAGGTCTCGGCCCGAGCAGCCCCTGGGGCTGCGGCGGACTCCGCCGGCGCATCGGTCACAGCAGCACAGGCGTCCTTGGCTGCCGCGGGCGGCGCCGTGGCTGCAGCGCCGGCGCCCCCAGCCGCCCCTGAGGCTGCGGCGGACCCAGCCGGCCCTGAGCTCCCAGCCCGAACCGGCCCTGGGGCGGCGGTGGACTCGGCCGGCCCTAAGGTCCCGGCCCGAACCGCACCGGCGGACTCGGAAGGCGTATCGGTCACAGCACAGGCGCCATTGGCTGCCGCGGGCGGCGCCGTGGCTGCAGCGCCAGCGCCCCCAGCTGGCACGGCAGGCGACGCGCCAGCGGCACTGGCGCCCTCGAAGATCAGCACCGGCCTGGCGCCGGGGCCAGCGCGGAAGCCGGCCGAGCTGGAGCGGGCGCAAGTGCCCGAGGTGTGCAAGAGAGTCAGCAACGCCAGCGACCCGCTGGCGTGCTCGAAGGCTGGCGGATGCTTGTGGCACCTGGGAGGATGTGTCAAGTCTGGAACGTCCAAGCATGGACGAACGTCCTGCAACGATGGCTTCGTGGAGGTGAAGTGCTTCGATCCGTCCACGTGCTCGGACGACGTCCCCGGCCCATCGCCAGACTCCAGGTGGGCGCTCGTGTACACGCACTCGATGCAGACTAAGTTCAAGGGTCTCAAGAACGAGACGGTGGTGCCGCTCGTCCAGTACGCCCGGATGCTGCAGAACACCGACGTGGTGCTCGTGGTCCCGAAGGCCGGCGTGCCCTTGTGGAACATGCGACGCCGTGACGAGAAGCGTTCGCCGCGCGACTACGCCGTTGGGCTGACAGGCGAGCAGAAGGCCGAGCTGGCCAGCCAGGGGGTGCTGGTGCACGAGGTCGACTGGCTCTTCCCTCCCGAAATGAAGTTCGCAGGGAGGGGCGCGGGCTGCCTGGGCAAGGACATCTTCCGACTCCACGTGCTCGGCTTGGAGCCCTACGCCGCGGTGGCCTACTTAGACACGGACACGCAGCTCACGGGAAGAGGAGATTTCAGCCAGGTGATGCGGTGCGCCGCCTCGAAGAACATGTTCATCACCACTAGCGGGCCGCTGAGCCCTCTGAACCTCGGCTTCATGGCCCTGAGGCCCGACAGGCGCCTCTTTGAGGCGGGCGTCCGTCTGGCACAGCTCGCGAACTACGACAAGAGCACGGGCTGGGGCAGCGCCGGACACGCCCCCAGCAAGACGCCCTTCGTCGGCGCGGAGTGCGGTCATCGAAGACGGGATCAACTGCATAAACATAAGCGTCCAGAAGTCCGCGCAGATGTCTTGCATCGGCGCTGGAACCTCCCTGGCGCGCAGAGCGCGCCAGGGGCGGCGCCGAAGGGCGCCGCCGAGGTGATCCAGCGCCGATCCAACAAGGTCGCACGGACCTCCGAACGTTTATCCATGATATGTAGTTGTTTCTTTCAGGTCAGGGCTTCGTGCACACGCTGCTGTACAAGACCGCATCCCCTTCGGTCGTGCAGGCCGTCGAGGAGACCGGGGCGTCGCTGCCGACAGCTGTGCAGGTGGACCGCTGCATCTGGAACCACCAGCACGACGGTGGGAGCGGGGAGGGCCACTTACAAGCACCCGTGCTCCTTAGAAGTCAGGAGGGACAAAAAAAACAGACACGACGAATCGTCGATTGTCCAGAAAATATCGGAAAATATGGGAAGTGGGGGGGAAGACAAAAGCCCAGAAAATATGGGAAATATATAGGGGACCCTTTCATTTGTATGTATTTATTTGTGTGTCCCAGGGCCCCTTCAAAGCACCCCTGCTCCTTAGAAGGCGCGGGCCGCATCTGTAGTAGGGCCGGCGCCTTCCAAGAAGCAGCCTCCTTCTCAGAAGCCCTCCCCCCTCCCCCCTACCCCCTTGTGCGCGCCGCCGAGGCCCTTGCAAGACTGGGGGCTGCCAGGCCATCGTCATGCTGCACAAGGACACGCCATGCCTCCGAGATCCGGGCGCCGCCGCGGGCGGCAAGACAAGCCGCCCCGCGGCGGGTGGCTCTTTCGCCCCAGGTTTCGGCCCCCGAGGCCCTCGCGGATCGATTTGCGGCTCGGGTCACGATGCTCGGCAGCCAGCCAGGGGGGGAAGTGAGAAGGAGACGGCCTTCCTCGGAAGGCGGCAGGGCTTCTCAGACGCCCGCCGGTCTTGTGAGAAGTTTTTGTCGGCGTCTTTGGGGGAGGGCTCAGGAAGCTCCTCGGAGGGCCCGAGACCTTCCCCCCCAGGCTGGCCGCCGAGATGCAGACGACGACGACGACGACGACGACGACGACGACGACGACGACGACGACGACGACGATCGTCATTTCCCGCAACGGTTCCATGTGTTCACGACGCCGGGCCTTGGGCAGGAAGAGGCGGAGGAGGGAGGCCGGTCAGTCGGAGATCCCCGAGGGTGCCCGGCTTGCGAGCTGCAGCCGGAGGGGCCCCGCCACGACGACAGCGTCACGGCCCCGAGGAGCGGAGGATGAGCAGGTACCTAGATATACCGCTGCCATTCCCTCGTGTTCGCCGCTTGGGGCCTCTTTGGGAGGCCATCGGCGCCACTGTGGGATGCGCCTCGAGATTCTGGTCAGAACACACCCCGGGAGAGGTCTGGGGAGTAGCGGTATTGGTACCTTTCGGTTTCCCCAGAGAGAGAGAGAGAGGAGGAGTAGGGAGGAGGGAGGTGGAGGAAGTTGGATTTGCCGAGCAGGCGGAGGGAGGAGGTCGTCGTCGGACGGGGGGCATGAGCGCTCTGCTGTGCTTCAATGAATCCAGTGCGGTGGGCGAGAGCGCAGACAGGAAAACGCATGCACTTGAGAACATGCGCGCGCATAGGAATACATACGAATGCAACGCACAGGCTGAGACACACCAGTCTGGAAACCCAAGCTAATCTGGAGGGCGGTTCACTCCGCTGCGGAACGACAGCGGGTGAACTCCGAACTTCTTGCAAACCTTGAGGTCAAGAATGCCCTCCTGGCCCTTGCATCTGCCAAACAAAGTGTGTATCAGCCCCAGCATAGCAGGGCCGTGCTGCCGCGCAAGATCGAAGATCCTTTGCTTGGCCTCTGCAGCGATATCCTGGCTGGCACTGCTGGCGATCGGCACTGCAGCACACTTCTCTACCCGGCGGGGCTGTGAGCGCGGTGGAGACGCCACGTCGAAGGAAACGGTGCGCCGCTGCAACTCGAACTCCACGAAAACCGGACCAGGCGGAGCCTCCGGCATTTGGAAAGGAGAGCTTCGGGGTTCAGCTGCGAAGGCGCGGAGATCGGCTTAGCAGGCCGACGGGCGGGGCAACTTTTTGTTGCGAGATGGCGGGCAGCCGAGGGGAAAAAGCCAGCGGCGGCTCCGGCGGCAGAACAGCACGCCGACCAACGTAGCCCGGCTGATCCCCACCCAGAGGGTGAGAGCCGTCAAGAGCACTGCTGTGCAGGACGCCAGGTAGCTGACTTGGGCGGGAGCGGCCAAGGCCGCAGGCCTCCGCCAAGTCGCGGACGTCGGCCACGCGTGGCGCGCGTCCGACTCGGGCCGCATCGCCGAGCCTCCGCGAAGCGGCGCGGACATGCGGCCTCGCCTCGCGAGGAATATGCCGGGCGGGATGGTCTCGGACGCGGCCGCCCGCACCTGCGCCGGCGGGGGCGTGGCCAGTGCGCAGGGTAACCGTCCCGACTGCGGGGGGCCCGAGGCAGCACCGAGGATGTTGGAAAGGACGCCTGACCTGGGACGGTTGCTGGAGGGAGGAGGAGGGAGGAGGAGGGAGGAGGGAGGAGGAGGGAGGAGGAGGTCCGTAGCAGTTTTGACTCAAGTCTTAACGCTGTGAAGGTCCATAGACGCATTGACGCCCGAGAATCAGTGATCAGCTTTGGTCTCTATTCCGCAGGTGGCCCGAGCCATCTTCTATGGCCTCAGGTGACCGCGGCGCGCGTTGCGCCTCGTCCTGTTTCCGTCCTCGCCAGTGTTCTGCGCAGGCTCGCTCTGTCTTGGCAGAGCCTCTCGCCATGTCGGCGGCTGTCGGTGCTTCGCCTGGGGGCAAGCGCTATAGTCGTCAGCTTAGAAGGAGAACAGCTCGGGCGAGGCCCCTCTGCGCAAAGAGTTTCGGTACGAGACGAGCTTGGACGGGGTGGCCGGCATCGAGGCAGCTCTTGTTGACGAACAACTTGTCCCTACTCTTGATGGTGCCCGTTCCCCTGCCCAACCTGCCACTCCCACTGGGCCGCCTGCCCCTGGGACCCCTGGCAAAAGGACGCATGCGAATGGAGGAGGAGGCCGTGCTGGCACTGGCGGCTCCACTACAGCTGTTCAGACTCACGATCGAGACGGCCAAGGTCGAGACGGCGGTGCGGGCCCACGACAATCGCATCGACAAGCTTGAGAGATAGGTGCAGGAGCTGCGGGACCTTCTTGGGCTCGCGCGACGTGAAGAACCTGGCCTTCGTTCCCAAGGCAGCGGATTCGACGGGGGGACAGACCCCGCGGTCATCGTGGTCAGGACGTCGGCCCCGATGCCCAAGCAGACGGTCGGGCAAGCAGACGGTCGGGAACGCCGCCCAGCCCTGGCTCACGGACGCGAACATCCATGCCGATGAGTTCGACATCGAAGGCGGCGCGATGGCGAAGGTATTTCAGATTCAGATTCGGGGCCAGCGGGGCTACGCGGCGCGGAAGGTCTCCCAGGCCATCGGCGCGCTCAGGCCCCCTGGTCGTGGCGCTGGTTGGCGACGGCTCACCGCGCCCTCTCCTACCGGTGGGCTGCCGACGGACATCAGCGTCGGGCCTGACAAGAGACCGAAGATGGAGGCGCAGGAGCCCGGCAGCGAGAAGGGGGTTCGCAAACTGGTGGAGCTCTATTCCACCAAACGATTCTTCTCGGACAACGAAAAGGACATCGTCGGCTCGTCGCGGAAGGACGTCGTGCACTTCTCTCGCTCGCCTGCAGGTTCGGCGCCGACGATTCAATTCTGCAGCCGCAACATGGCTGAACTCAACCTCGACGCCGCCCCCGCCAGGCGGTCGGCGCGCGCTCTCTTCGAGGATCAGAAGGGCACCGAATGATGTCTTTAGCGGGCTGCTCCAGGCCTGGCAGCGCGGCTCTCCTTTTCGAGCTTCGATCACCACTACTTCTTGGGACGCCAGGTCGCTGCTACATGACGGCCCGCCGCTTCGGGGTAAAAAGGTCCGGCGCCTCGGGGCCCTGCTCACCCCCCGCGCCATCCTCGGGGTCCAAGAATATCGCGGGGCCCTAGCAGCAGCTGCGGACGCGTTGCACCAGCTCCATCTGCGTGCCAGGATGCGTCATTTATTTAACGCCGACGGGCGCGAGAATGTAGGAGGCTCCTCACATCATTTCGTCAAGTGGGTGCGTCTACTCAGCTTGTGGTCAATGCTGACTCTCTCCTGGGAGGGTTCTCTGAACGTTACTGCGATTCTGGACGAGTCCGAGGACTGGATCTCGCATTGCAACGTGCACAAGTGCGGTCTACCTCGGGAGGTCCGTCATAGGGTAATGAGGGCGATTGAGCGAGATGTTGAACGCCCTCGCGCGGTGCCCCCGACCGCGCCCTTGCCATTTTGGCTGGCGATTCTAACATGAGCGAGGCCCGCCCCGCGCCGACGGACGCGTTCCATCCGAGTTTGGGCCGCCGCGAGCGGCGCGCAGGGGGGGGGGCGGATCTGGCAGGGGTGTCTCTCGGAAGTAGTCGAGATGCAACAACACGATTATAGACATCATTGCTGAGTTAACGACTCGACTAACAGCATCGACCGCATCTTCGTCTCGATTCCTGTGTGTTTTCCGTCAAATGAATGCCTTGGGGCTCGCCAAAGATCAGGTCGAAGTCCCGCGCCATCTAGTGCGCCCAATGTTCCGCGGACCTCATTGGGGCCCCGAGGATCGCGGCCCAGGGCCGCCTGATTCCCAAGGAGACCCTCGCCACATCTAATTTCCAGAATTTCACGCGCGCGCATGAAGGCTGCGTCTTGGGGCGAGCTTTCGCCGCCTCTGAAGATAGATGCAAGTGTCCGATGATGGACGGTGCCACGTTTGCCAGGACTGCCACTCTGCGCTTCGAGGTTCGAGGGGCACGGCCGTCTGGGCCGCATCATTATCCGCCGCTCGGCGGCTACGACAGTCTGGAGACAGGGCGGGGGACTTGGCGCCGCCCTCTTGCAGCGCACGTGGCCGTTCGGAATCTTCTGCAGTCTTCTGCAAGTTGACCCCGCCGCTGGCGTGCTCTCGCCGCGCGACCCTGCGCGCTTCCCTAGTGAGCTCGGCCAACTGCAGACGGCCGATCTCGGAGCTCAGAAGACGAAACTGGCGAGCTCAATGAACGGCGACGCGCTTGAGAGGAGACGACGAAAATGACGAAAACAGATGCGGCGACTCCAGAAACGCGCATCGCTCGGGGCCCCGATCGACCGGCGTCTGGCGCTAGCAGGCATTAGGCATCCCCCCAGCGAGACCGCGACCCAGCCCGAGGAGATGTCCAGGGCGATCTGCAGCTACTAGGGCCCCGTCTTCGGCAAAAAGTAGGCCCTCCAAGGCTCGGCTAAAACGTGCATCGGGAGATTCGGGGGACAGATGGACTTCCCGGACATCCCCCACCCGCTCTCTGGAATTCGAGCCCGCCCCCGGAAGCCCTTGGCCCAGACCGCCCCCGCGCGCTACGCGGCGGCACGGGCCGATGGCGGCCGGACTTTTGAACGAGGATTCGCGGTGGATGTTGGATGGGAACTCGCCGACGTCGTCGCCCAACGCTATCGCGGGGACACACATGCCTGAAGGGGAGGAGGAGGGGGACATGACAGGGGCCGCTCGCGACGCGCAATCGCTTCGCCCGCTCGGGGCGACGACTTCGGAGAAAAGGTTCTCGCGGGCGCTGTCAACGGGCCCTTCGCTGTCAAGTTAGCCGAGCCCAGCAGCCCACTGCAGCGGGCATTTACGATTGGACGGC